CCATAAGGCCCTGCTGCCATGAGGTCCTGCTACCTGAGGCCTTGCTGCCATGAGGTCCTACTGCCATTCTGCCCTGCAGCCATTCCGCCCAGCTGTCATTCTGTCCTGCTTCGAGACCCTGGTGCCGTGAGGCCCCGCTGCCATGCCGTCCTGCTGCCACGAGGCCCTGCCGCCACGAGGTGCAGCCCAGTAGCCCCAGACGTCGTGCCGGCCGCCAGACGCTGGACAACTGGTTCCTCTGCTCTGGCCGTAATCTGCCCTTGGCGCCTTGGCCGGTGCATAAGGCGTTCTATGTCGTGCATAACCCACGTACTCCGGTCACCTGCGCTGCTCTGTGCGTGCCCGTCCCGCCCGTCCGCGCTGCGCCGCCGCGCCACACGGCCGAAACGAAAACAGTCGTGCGATCCCCTCCGCTCTGCTCGGCTCCCCGCCCTGCCGGCCCTCGCCTTGCCGCGTCCTTGGGCTGTCCCGTCCGGTCCGTCCGCCGGCTGATGCGGGGCAATGCCAGGCAAAGCCAGGCCACGCGGGGCTGCATCGTCGTTCCGTATCGGCCGGCGCAGCGCGCAGCGAGGCCCTTTGGTGGACGCGGCGCGCCGGACGGAGGCGGTGCCGGCACGGCATCGTTAACGACGTCCCACTCCAAGGATGCAGATTTCTGGCCAATTAGAGCGTAGCGGCCAGCGGCGCCCAGGATCAACAAAAACAGTCCGCCCTGCGTCCCGCCGTCCCGGCCGTCCTGCGTACTCGGCGCGGCGCTGCGGCGCTGACCTTGAGGGCGGCCGAGACTATGATGAGGCGCTGCTCATTTAGTGTCGGGAAGTTCGCGCAGGTTCCGCCAGTCCTTCCGAGCCAGCAAGGGACGCCAAGGAAGGAGGCCTGCCTGCATGGCGGCCAGTGCCAGTGCGAACACCGGAGGCTCTCAAAACGAATCAATCAGCCAGTCTGGAGACTTCAACGCAAGGAACCACGAAGACTCTCCACCATCATGGCAGCCTGCAATAATGTTTTCGATTTTCTGACTGCTCGTGACTTTTCCGCAGTGTATGATGCAGGAAGGAGCAGGACGCCCAAGGGCTCGCTCAATCACGCTCGGGCCGCGACCAAGGATAAGAACGAATGCCGGAGAGACTTGCAGTAATCCTGATTCGGCCGCCGCGTGTCCGGCTAGCACCACTGTAGCAGCCGCGAGAGCCGAGACCTTCCCTTGGCTGCCTTGGCGGATCGCATCAGGAAACCTCGAAGATGTTATGACGATGTGGGTCCGTCCAACAACAACTGCGGCGGAAACATCAACAACACCACACACGCGGACGGGACGGCCTCTAGAGCGGCACGATAAAATGCGAGTGGGATGGGCGGCGCGGCGCGGTCACGCGGCCCTAGGAAGAAGGGAAGAGCGATGCAGTCAGACAGACAGGCAGGCAGACAGGCGGACAGACAGGCAGGCAGGCAGACAGACAGGTGGACAGGCGGGCACGGACAGACAGACGCAGGTGGACAGACGGGCCCAGCGGATGCCAAGCTGAAGCGTTCTTGCTGGTGTTTTTGCTAATTGGTCGTTGTAAAGTACCGAAAGTGATAGTCGCTGCAGTCCGGCAAGGCGGAGCGGGGCGAGGCGTCTGCAAGGCCGAACACGGGGCACTGGTGCGGGGCTGGCGCAGCACTGCAGACCAGTTTTGCACCAATTTCCGGCACCGGCCCGACCTGCTCGAAAAGTAGACCAAATAAATGCATAACGTTTATGCGTGCGTCACGGTCGGCGGCCCTAGGACCAAGAAGACGAAGGCGCGAGGTGCGCGTTTTTCTGCGAGTCTCTTTTGTTTTCTGAAAGACAGAGAGATGTAGCTCGCTGGCGAACGCCGCTGTTCAAAGCATGAGGTGCAAGAATGCGGGCTTGATGGGAAAATACAAGGGTCTGCATTTTTCCCCGAGCGAGCCGCGTGTCGAATGTGGTTATCATGTGTTTTTCACGTCCCGCGAGAAATAACGTTGTATCATTTAAAAAATCACAACTACACTGAGAAAACCTCACAAACTATTTCAGGCCTTACAAAGAAAAGCAGCTTGTTATAACAAAGTATTTTGAGCATACATAAACTGACAAAGAGAATACTTCGTAATTTACAAACTATAAGAATTCTTCGTATAACAAAGTAAATTAGTTTGTACAATGTATGCTCAAAATGCTTCGTAAGGTTTTAAGGGTGTATCTCCTGGACGGATGTAAAACCTTGATCGAAAGCCACCGCACGATGCCCTGTGATGGAAAGGTGCGAAGGTTCAACAGCTGAGATAATGGTCTTGCCGATTCACTGTGGCCACCAAAAAGAGAAGAAAACCGCCTCGCCAAAATAGAGCGGCCGGCCGAGCCGGGGCTGCCGCCTGAGCGATGGCCGGCCGGCGACAGGCGTGCCAACGAGCAGGCGTGCCAATAACTGGAGCGCTGCTGGCCAGGCTGGCCACAATGATAATCTGACGAAAAGAAAAGAGACCTTGCCGTGCCACGCCGCGCCAACCCGCCCCGCCAGGCCCGGTCCTGGACCTGTCCGTGTGTGGAGTTACCCAATCCCGAACGCGAGGTTGGTTCCATTGACTGGGCCGGTCGCGCTCGGAGAAAGGGATCCTAGCGATGAGCTGAAGCCAAGCATTTCTCCGCGGCTTGTGAGGTTAGGTTGGGTTAGGTCAGTTAAACCGTGGCAGCGATGGAAAACAATTGGGTGTGATAATGGTTTAGCCGGACAGACTGCGGCACATTTCCAGCGATCCCTCCAGGATAAGCGGATAAAGGTCGCCGGTGGAACGTGCTCTATGAACCGGCGCGAAGCCCGCTACAGTTTTAGGCGAATAAACAACAGCGAGAAACAAAGGAGAAACGGCTCTAGGCGGCCATCGGCCATCGAGACGAATTGCGAGACGCAGATCAAGTCTGCGGACTTCTCACGTGACACATGAAGCAATGGGACTCGCCCCCTTTGTCCGTCTGTCTGTCCGCCTGCCTGCTAGCTGTCTATCTGTCTGTTTGTCTGTCTGTGTCTCATTTATCTGCTTTCGTCCGTTAGTGGCACCCCGCGCACGCACACGCGCCTTTCTGGTGAGAACTTCTCATCCCACGCGCGTGCACACACACACAGACACACACACAATCGCCCTGGCTGGAGGAAAAAGACGAAAAAAGGCCAGACGACGTGGTTACTGAGGCGTCAACACTAGCGTGCATGCCCGCGATCTGCGTGCCGCGTGCGCCTTGGGCTGGGGACAGGGTGCGGCGGGGCGCGGTGGGGCGTGGTGGGGCGTGGTGGGGTGGAGCAGGGTCCAGAGAGGGGGGGGGGGGACGTCCTGTCTCGGCGTCCGCTGGTCCGCTGCGCACGACGCCGTTGCACAACCCACCAAGTTCAAGTGCAGCCAGTCCATGCAGTCCGTCTGCCCTCCTCCCCGCCCCGCCCCATCCTGCCGAGCTCGCCGTGACCACGTCGGCGCCGCCGGCACGTCGCCCGCGGCCATCCAGGGCATGGCCCGCCAGGATCGGGGCGGAGCCTCCGTTCTGCACTAAACGCAGTCAGCACCCCGACGTTGTCGGAGGTTTACTACGAGTGGAGACGTGGACACGCACAGAATTGACCTGAGCTTGGATTGCCATTTTTAAATTCCGGTGACTGTCGCGCGAAGAAAGGGCGAACCCCGTCAGAGCGGCGGCCTGCCGACAGGACGCGCGGCGGCCTTGTCGGACGTGTCATTGACAGCTTTCTTGTTCTCCTCTTTTCTTTTCCCCTCAAGTGCGTCTGGCGACAGCCCTTGCACGCGAGGCGGCGCCGCGATGCAGGCTGCACCGCCTAAGCGGACTTCGAGTGCAACAAGAAGAAAACAGAACTGATATCGATCCGCAGTCGCGGCGAAGGGCTCAAGGATCACAACTGCTGGGAAAACAAAAAGACCAAGAGTCAACATCACGTTTCCCGAAACGAAGCTGCCGGCCGGCGGCCCACACCGCGCGGAGCGGCGGAACGAGCGGAACCCTCCGGTGGTTCGCGCTCCGCCCTTGACTCCTCTGGATTTATGGCCGTGCCATCACGGTCGTGGGTTCGAATCCCGCCGCCTGCGGGAGCCAATTTCTTTGTTTATCTTCCCCGTGCTGCACCGCGCCGCACCGCGCCGCAACGCGCGGCCGGGCGCGGCGCGCTACCCATACCGCACATGCAGGAAGGTCACGGGCAAAACCTACGCACGGCGCGGCGCGAGCGAGAAGGAGAGAGAGAGAAAGAGAGAGACACTTCGCGGGGCGTTGCCGGCCGATTATGAAATAAGTGTCTGGCTCACACACACGCACGCACCACCGCACACACACGCACACACCTTGATAGTGATTGCAAGTAACGATTATGATCTTACCGTATCTGGTATCTGTCAAACGATGACCGTCGAGCCTGCCCAGCCTGCCCCGCCTGCCGCGCATACCGGGGCGTGCCGGGGTCAAAGCCCGGGGCCCGGTGTCGCTCGCTGCACCGCCAGCTTAAATTGAATGGGCTTTGCTTTCTGCGGAGGCGCGGTGCTTTAAATACTGCGCGCTCGACGTCCACTCGCGAGGGCCAGACCACACAGTCGAGGGGCATATGACGTGCGTTATACTTCAAAACACTAAAGTTTTTTCTCTCTCAGTTGCTCGCTGTTCCACTGAGAGGGCTTGCTGCGATGACGGACTCTTTCAGGAACTGGTGGCCGGTGGCCGAGGGAAGCAGTGCTTGGATAAACTTGGCTGGCTGGCGTGCCCGGCGTGCCCTGCGTGTGGGTGTGCGAGGGATGTCTAGGGGCGTCACCAAACAGCCGGCGTGCCAGACGCCGCCCGACAACGGCTACCCCCTCCCCGCCGTGCCCCGCCCTGCCCCGCCCTGCCCTGCCTTGCCCTGCCTTGCCCCCGCCCCCCTCCGCCCGGCGCAAGACTCCCTGCAAGCAGTATGGGTCCGGTATAAAAAGACGGCGGTCCTTGCACTGGGCATCAGTTGCAGATTTCGCTTCACCACATCCACACCACCTCCTCCACAACAGCGAAATGGCATTCAAGGTACGTCCCAGTGCAAAGCAGTGCAGTGCCGTGGGCCCAGCAGAGCCCGGAGGATTTTGTACTTAACTGAAAACCGGAGTGTGTACTCAGTGCATGCTGAAGTGCTTTATGAGTGTACTCACTTAAGTTTTCAGTGACAGACCGTCAGTAAGTGAAGCAAAGCGACGGCTTATGCCAATCGGAAAGCACTGCGCAAAGGATTCGATCGGAAAGCCCCAGCTTTGTTCTGTTCTTTACGAGTGTCCAAACTTGCTCTCTCGATAAAGACTTTGCACTTTAAATGGAATACTCCTCGTTCTTCAATTTAAGAGCAGTATTTCTCCAAGCTCACCGGCAGGTGTCGCACATGAAATGAGTTGTTTCTACGAGAACTCGGCTGTGTGTTTGCTCTCGCTCTCTCGGAAGCTGATGAAGTCTCTCTTGTTGCAGCTGGTAGTCCTCGCTGCCCTGGTGGCCTGCGCCCAGGCTGGCCTCATCGGCACCCCCGCCATCTCCACCTACGCCGGCAGCTACGGCTACGGCGCCCCCCTCGGCCTAGGCTACTCCGCCCCCATCATCACCAAGACCGCCATCGCCGCCCCCCTGCACTCCGGCCTCGGCTACTCCAGCCTGGGCTACTCCGGTCTCGGCTACTCCGGCCTGGGCTACTCCGCCCCCCTCATCACCAAGACCGCCATCGCCGCCCCCCTGCACGCCCCCATCGCGCCCATCGCCCCCCTGGGCTACTCCGCCCCCATCATCACCAAGACCGCCATCGCCGCCCCCCTGCACTCCGGTCTCGGCTACTCCAGCCTGGGCTACTCCGGCCTGGGCTACTCCGCTCCCCTGGGCTACTCCGGACTTGGCTACTCCAAGCTGGGCTACTCTGGTCTTGGCTACTCTGGTCTGGGCTACTCTGCCCCCCTCGGCTACTCCGGCCTGGGCTACTCTGGCCTCCACCACCTGTAAATTCAAAGACTGACTAGCTCCTCGTTAAGTGTGAAAAATATTTAAAAACAACAATGGAAATATGAATAAACAAAAATAATTTCCATAACAACAAAAATATTGTCTACAATTGGCTTGTGACCTCTGATCTCCCCAATGAAAAAACAAGGAAAACCAATTTCTGAACGTTAGAAAAAGAAGCAGCAGTACAAAACTGAGTTCTTATTGTCAATATGAGTTCGACTTTGTTTGCTTCCAAAGCAACAATATTTAAGAAACGAGGCTGTTTCTACGTGAACACTTTGGGCACACACTGCAGATACAATTCCCCGTGGTGCACACTGTGCACTCAGCGCTCTGCAGCCGGTTTCCCAATAACGCGCGCGGATCGCGGCAGAAATGAAGTTCGCCAATCAGAATGGAGCGTGACGTCACGAGGGCAGCTCGGCGGGTTCCACGGGCCGCGGGGCCGCGGCATGTGTGGCGGAATGGTGGCTGCAGCGCCAGCGCGCCAGCAGTCGCACAGCCATTGACTGCCTGCGCTCGCTGCGTTAGCACAGCTCCACGCACCGCTTAAAAGGCCCGCTGCCTTTGCTGCCTTTGACTGGCACTTCGCGACTCGCGGGGGCAACGGGGCGGTTCAGGTTTACGAGCCCCGCTTTATTGGTTAACAAGCCAATTGTGGCACCGCCAAAGACTCGGCTTGCCAGTCAGTCTGCCCGCCTGACTCGCTGAATGAATGGATGAATGGGGCGATGCATGAGGGCGCCGGGGAGGCAGACCCGCCCGTCGCGCACGGGTGTCGCGCGGTGCGGCCTACCCCACGCTTCGCAGGCGCTACGGCTCCAGCCCGGCTCCAGCCGGCTCCAGCGGACCGAAAACCCACTGTGTTTTTCTACTCGATTAAACGCGAGCCACGCGGTGGTAAAGAAACCGGCACTCCGACACTGTATCGATACACTTCATCTGCCCCCGGCGGAGCGGTTCCGAGCAGGGCCGTCGCCGCTTCTGTCTCTCTCGCAGCCCTGCGGCACGCACCACGAGAGAGAGAGAGAGAGAGAGAGCCACGCCCTCGCGACGCCTGGCCGCTAGACAAGTGCCGCGGCCGGGCAGTGTGTCTGGGTCACTGGCAGTCGCTGGCAGTCGCTGGCAGTCCGCTGGCAGGAGGTGTGTCCCAGGCCGACCGGCCGACCGGCCGACCGCCCAGAGCTATGATATTCTAATCGTGATCGCCGTTATGGGAGGCACGGCGTGGGAGGGGCGGCCGTCCTTGAAGGCCGTCGTTGTTGTTGGTAGTGTTGTTGTTTTTATTTTCCGTTTTCTTCTTCGTCTTCGCATTTCTTCTTCTGCTGCTGCAGCAACTACGCGCGTCGCCAGTTGCCTCTCACCGATTCCGTCTTCCGTCCAGGATAAACTTTTAACTTTTCCCCCCAAATTTATCGTCCGGCCCTGTCGGCCCGAACGAGGACGCGCTGCGAGCGAGCGTGCGTGTGCGTGCGCGCGCGCACGTGTGTGTGCGTCCGTGCGAGCGTGTGTGTGTGTGTGCGTGGGAGGACCGCAGATTATGCAGCGCCGCGTTATCATTGCAAAAACCACACGAAACTTGGAAAGGCGCGCGCGCCGCTCCGCGCTCCATGGCCGAGGCGCAGACAGAGTCCGGGGCTGCGGCCGGCCTGACTCGACTTTGCTATGACTTTAGTACAACTTGGACATGACGAGCACTTTGAGATGACTCTAGCAGACTGTAGGCGTGACACTGGAACTGCCGCACCGACGCGTGCCTAACGCAAAATAAGGAGCACCAACACACACACACACACACACACACACACACACACACACATATATTCTCCCCGCCCCTCTCTCCTCCTCCCTCTCCCCTTCTCTCTGTCTCTCTTCCCCCCTCTCTCTCCCTCCCCCGCAGTTCCTTGGCCGCTCTGCGCGCGCCTCTCCGTCCAATGCAAGCAGCTGGAGACATTTCCCAGCCGTCTGCACCGAACTCGAGATTCAATTTGGAGCTCGACATGGTCACACTTTGGCCGCCCTTTCAAAGGGCCCGACTTTACTTTGGCTCCCCAGGCCGACCGGGCCAGCCTCAGGCCAGCATCAGGCCGGCGGCCTCCATTTGCGGGAATCGATACCCGAGTTACGGCGGCCGACCGACCTCTGCCGCGTGCAGCGGACCATTCATCTGGGCGCACCGTTTTGCCGTATTTCGCTTCCGTACCGCAGGTGCCGACACCTTTTCCTCTTGCGAAGCCAGAAGCGTGAAAAGAAGTAAAAAGGAACATAACTCGGGCGCTTTCGTCGCCTTTGGCCGGCACCGCTCCTCTGGTCCACCTCGTCCGATCTCGTCGCACTGTGGCCTGGCCTCGCCTGCCCGGCCGCGGCTTGGGTTGCCACACGCACCGCCGAAGGAGCACTAAGCTTCAAGTCTACGCTTGAAGAAAGGCGAGAAAGTACGCCTCAGTTCTAGCAGTGCAGGGAGGAAGGCAAGCAAAGACGGCGTTTTGAATGTCGGAAATAATTTATTGCGAACGGTTGTGAACGGCGTGAACGGTGATGGATTACACGATGAGATTTTCGCCGAGATTACCAGGACGAGTAGCCGGTGTCCAAAGGGAGGTCGAAGTCAGAGGACGAGTAGGCGCTGTAGGCGAGGGGGGCGGAGTAGGACTTGATGATTGGGTACGACTTGACGATGGGGTAAGTCCTGACGAGGGGGTGGAGTACGACTTGACGATGGGGTAAGTCCTCACGATGGGGGTGGAGTAGGACTTGACGATAGGGTGGAGTAGGTCCTCACGATGGGGGTGGAGTAGGACTTGACGATGGGGGTCGAGTAGGTCCTCACGATGGGGGTGGAGTAGGACTTGACGATGGGGGTGGAGTAGGCGATCGGGGCGGCTCTGATGATCGGAGCAGAGTAGGCGATGGACGGGGCGTAGCTGTGGCTGTAGCTGGAGGCGTAGGACAGTGCGGGACCGTCGTCCAGGTCGACGTGGTCGTGCAGGAAGCCAGCCTGGGCCGCAGCCACCAGGGCAGCCAACACAAACAACTGCAAGCGGAAAAAAGCTGGTCAGTGTAGTCAACAAGAAAACCGAACGACATGCCATTCAACTCGCTGCTAGCCTTGTAAGAGCAAAATAAGCAATTCTCGGCAATACTTCAACCATGACGAATGAGGTTGACTACTGCAGATTCCAGTGCGTTTCTACAATAGTACAAACTTAAAGCTCGCCCTGAATGCGGCATTACCTTCATCATGATGCACGGGGGAGATGCGATGGTGTCTCGTTGATCGTCACTGCTGGACTGATGCCTTTCCGACGCTCCCCATCGCCTTTTATACCACGCCAACCCCGTCACCCACTTTTGCCAACCCTGGCCGCGGCCTGGCCGTTGTTTTTGGCGACCTAGGCGGCGGACGGCGGTGGAGCGAAGCATGGGATGGGATGGGACCGACCCAAGTGTCACCCAGCCGGCCAGGTCCTCCGCGTAAAAACATAAAAAGCTCCCTAACCCTGGGCGGCCGGGCTGAGCCTGCCGCTGTCCTCGCCGGCACGCCGGCCGTGTCATCTCTTCGAGTCGCCACTATAAATAGGCGGGGATGCGACGAGAGACGCATCAGTTGCGGCTCGGTCCTCCTGTTCGGCACTCCAGCGCATCTCCAGCTCCACCATGGCTCTCAAGGTACCGTTCTCCACGCCGAAGTAGAACTCCTCGAGTACGACATTAGTATTTTAGGGCGAAGGATTCTTCGACACTGCCACTGTCATCAATAGAGTTGTTCAGTGTGCATGTAACTGGTCTAGTTTCCACCAAACTCTGAAAATCACTAACGCGCATTCTCTGTACCTCCACCTGCAGGTCGCAGTTCTCCTAGCAGCGTGCCTGGCAGCAGCCCAGGGCGGCTACCTCCACGGCCTGGACCACGGCGCCTCCTACGCGCCCGCCTACAGCAGCTACAGCAGCGGCCTGGGCCTGGGGCTCGGCGGCTACAGCTCATTGCACTCATCACCCGTCATCTCCAGCTACAGCAGCCCCCTGGTGCACAGCGCCCCCATCATCAAGGCAGCCCCTATCATCCACAGCGCCCCCATCCTCAGGGCTGCCCCTATCGTCCACAGCGCACCTGTCATCAGGGTCGCCCCCATCGTGCACAGCGCTCCCATCATCAGAGCCCTGCCCAGCTACAGCAGCTACGGCCACGGCTACAGCAGCTACAGCAGCCCTGTCGTCAGGGTCCTGCCTAGCTACAGCAGCTACAGCGCGCCCATCGTCAGAGCCCTGCCCAGCTACAGCAGCTACGGCCACGGCTACAGTAGCTACAGCAGCCCCGTCATCAGGGCCCTGCCCAGCTACAGCAGCTACAGTGAGCCCCTGCTGCACAGCGAGCCACTCATCCACAGCAGCCCCATCCTTCGTGCCTCCTCAGTCTGGTAGCGGGGCGAACCCAGGCACCATCACCATTCTGTAAAATAGTTCACGACATCAATAAAACGAAAGTCTAGTCAAGTTTATGCCTTTTCTGTGCCAACCCTTTCACGGCCAGGAGAAGTTCGCCACTGCTGTTTGCAAGTCAATGGGTCCGCTGCAGTGTGCAGCCAGACCAAAGGTTAATGGCCACTTGCCTCGGACCACCACTACCGAATTCGCGCAGTAGGTGGGGCGCATGGGCGTGGTGGGCTCGGTCGGTATATATATTGCTGTCCTCGTCGACGGAGGCACAGTCAAGTCGGTTGCAGTCCGAGTCTGTTCCCACAGCCAAACCCAGCCCCCGGTCGAGATGGCTTTCAAGGTAGGACTGAGTGAAGACGGCCAAGACCCAGGACGCGTCCGTCGCAGTGCTCGCTAACAGTATGGTGTTGCAGCTGGTGCTCCTGTCCGCGCTGGTGGCGTGCGTGCAGGCCGGAGGCCTCATCGGCGGCTACGCCTCGTCCTACGGCTACGGCCACAGCCTGCCCCTGGCCGCCCCGCTCGTCTCCTCGCCCATCGTGACCAAGACCACCGTCACCACCACCCCCATCATCACCAAGACCCACCTGGCCGCGCCCCTGCCCCTGGCGTACGGCCACGGCTACGGCCACGGTCTGGGCTACTCCAGCTTGGGCTACTCCGGCCTCGGCTACTCCAGCCTGGGCTACTCTGGTCTGGCCCACCACGGCCTGGGCTACTCCGGCCTGGGCTACTCCGGTCTGGGCTACTCCGGTCTGGGCTACTCCGGTCTGGGCTACTCTAGCCTCGGCCACCACGGTCTCGGCTACTCCGGCCTGGGCTACTCGCACGGACTCGGCTACTCCGGCCTGGGCTACTCGCACGGTCTTGGCTACTCCGGCCTGTGGTGAAAAGTGATCTCACCAATAGTCAATTGATAATCTGTGATGACAACAACTCGAGCTTTATCCCAAAGTCAATAAAAACGCTCAACAAAACAAACCTCATGAGTGGTGTATTTGTTTGCCTCCTTGTCCAGCCTAAGAAAAATAGTTGGATACATGTTTTTTACACTCCACTTACCAAACTGAAAGACACGGGCAGGCGGTGACAGTTACTCAAAAAGAAAGAAGACTCAAAATTTACTAGAAAAAGGGGGAAGGCTTTACCTACACCCTGGTAGGGGTAGTAGGGGAAGAAAAGTGCAGGGTAGTAAAAATATTCTCACACTACACTCTATTGCATTAATTGTTTAAGATATCGGGTATATATTGCTCATGGGCAATGCCTATTCCACGTGTGTTAAATTTTATTAATAGGCTTTGATCTATGAGAATATTTTATGTACTGTTTCCCCATGTCAAAAGACAGGGGAGGCAATAATTGCCATAATTTTGTGAGACATTGGATTTGCCACTTCATGGCAAGAAATTTGGTCCCCCCAAATAATCGTGAGACTCGTGGTTCTCGCCGTCAGGATGGGATGAATTCTCACTCTTTAACCTTAAGGGTATCATCCTGTGCTCTTCTTTCCTTACCCAGAAATTTCGTGCACAAATGCTTCGGCCAGAGGATTGGAGTAATTAAAAAATATGTCACGAAATTTTGAATAATTTTACTGATTTTGCGTGACTGCTCTGGGTAAGTATAATCCACAATCGATGAAAATCAGCAAAAAATAGGGTAATACGGTCACGCAGTCACGGGTCGTATTCTTTCAAGTCCTTTAGCGTGTTCATGATAAGGGGTGCGATTTTCCACCCTCAACTGAGAGCGGTCCTGCCGCAAAGTGGTGGCAAATATGTAAAAATCTGTGTGTAAAAATCCTTTTCTTTTAAAAAAAGCGGGTGCTCTCGTGTTTTGTTAGCTACGTGGAGTGTAAAATTCATGTGTCTTATTTTTTTTTCTTAGGCTGGTCAAGGAGGCAAACAAATACACCACTCATGAGATTTGTTTTGTTGAGCGTTTTTATTGACTTTGGGATAAAGCTCGAGTTGTTGTCATCACAGATTATCAATTGACTATTGGTGAGATCACTTTTCACCACAGGCCGGAGTAGCCAAGACCGTGCGAGTAGCCCAGGCCGGAGTAGCCGAGTCCGTGCGAGTAGCCCAGGCCGGAGTAGCCGAGACCGTGGTGGCCGAGGCTAGAGTAGCCCAGACCGGAGTAGCCCAGACCGGAGTAGCCCAGACCGGAGTAGCCCAGGCCGGAGTAGCCCAGGCCGTGGTGGGCCAGACCAGAGTAGCCCAGGCTGGAGTAGCCGAGGCCGGAGTAGCCCAAGCTGGAGTAGCCCAGACCGTGGCCGTAGCCGTGGCCGTACGCCAGGGGCAGGGGCGCGGCCAGGTGGGTCTTGGTGATGATGGGGGTGGTGGTGACGGTGGTCTTGGTCACGATGGGCGAGGAGACGAGCGGGGCGGCCAGGGGCAGGCTGTGGCCGTAGCCGTAGGACGAGGCGTAGCCGCCGATGAGGCCTCCGGCCTGCACGCACGCCACCAGCGCGGACAGGAGCACCAGCTGCAACACCACACTGTTAGCGAGCACTGCGACGGGCGCGTCCTGGGTCTTGGCCGTCTTCACTCAGTCCTACCTTGAAAGCCATCTCGACCGGGGGCTGGGTTTGGCTGTGGGAACAGACTCGGACTGCAACCGACTTGACTGTGCCCCATCGGCGTAGCCGCGAGTATATATACCGAGCCAACTACAAAAGACCACGCCCTTGGGCCCCACCACCTCCCCGATTTTGGTAGTGGTGGACGGTGGTCATCGCCTCCATGCCGGTAGGGGAATCGCTGGCCTACGCCGAACTTACCTCGCCGTGCCCCGCCGGCGCTCAGCTCATTAGACCGACACCTCTCTCTCGCACCCGCAGACCGCGGCCACCAAAAGAGCACCGTGCAGTCTTGCAGGGAATCAAGGCACTACCCGGTTTCAACAAAGCTGATTCAGTATCAACGCTGTGGGTGCTCGTAGTAACCTTATTTGGACTGCAGAGAGGAAAATCGTTTACTTGTAAAATTTAGAATTTCATAGCGACAACTTCCAGCATTTCTCCGTTTAGTGCTGGGATCCTTCCATTATCCGCGACAGCGCTGCTCCCTAATCAGAGTAGCAGTGAAGGGTAGGGGGAGGAAAAAACCGACCCAAAGGAAATATGCCGGGAAATTGGACGTGAATGCCGCGCAGTGCTGCGCAGTGCCACGCGATACCCTACACTGCAGTCTCGCGACGTGCCAGGTCCTCAGAAAATGCCGGCCCACGCCCCCTCTGCCAGCATGCCAACTTAAAAAGGAGGCCAAATTCTTTCGAGGGCCGAAACTTTACTCGAGGCGACTGTCGGCAAAGATGAAAGGCAGTGTTACTGACACAAGGAAAAGGGAAGGAAAAAAAAAAGAAACTTTTCACCGCCTGGACTTTTGGGAGACGCTTTGAGCTGCGAACGGAGTACCTAAACAAAATAATTTAGGGAGGGAAAGAGTCCGAGCTGCTTTACTTCCAAAGTCAACGACGTCCTCTGAAAAACTCGCGCGGGTCTTGTTTATCTGGAAATGAATAGATCGTCCTGTCACGTCGTCGAGACCTTGGGCGGATTGATCGAAGCGGCCAGAGGTCCGGCCGACCGGCCACCTGTCTGCGTCGGCCCGCTATTGCTCCGTTACCGTTTCCCAACAGTCGCGAAGCCAAGTCGCGGACGCGCGCGGACGCCAGGCCCTCGCTTCCCACACGCACCGCCGGCGTGGCTCTCTGTCCAAGGGCGGTTCCAGGATTGGCCCCAGGGAGGAGCCAAGAAAGCGATTCTCGCCCGCTTGCACAGCGCTGCATTTTGCCTATCTTTCGAGTTTCTTTCAAGGGGTCAAAGGGCGGGGGAGGGGGAGGCCTGTTGCCCCCTTTCAATCCGCCCTTGCCTCTGTCTGTCGCACCAGCTAGGAGGCGGCCGGCCCTCCGTCTCTGTCTCGCCGACTGGCGGCCCACAGCGGCCTAGAGCGACCCAAAGGCGGTCGTTTCGGGCGCGGTCGGTCTCGCGCCGCGGTCAAGCAGAGCCAGCAAAGCCAGCCGGAGTGGCGAGCAGCGAGGTATAGCCCAGTTACATTAGTTCAAAGTGCATGGGGGACCCTAAAAAAATTAGCAAAAACGCGCCGCTTTGGGGATCGATAGTACCACCCATAAGCATCAAATCTGAAAATTCCCAAGAATTCCCATCATGCATTCCCGGGAAACGGCGTTCAAAGTCCGCCTTTTTGGTTTTGGGCCCCAAAGTGGTTATCAGCCATACCGGCCAAACGGTTCGTCCGACAGAGTCGCCCGACGGCTCAAATTAATCGTCATGCATAGAGCTACAATCTGCATTAGTCGGATTTTTTTTTATATCAGTACCCCGGGAAAAAATTTTTACACTAAAGGGGAATTTTTGATTTTCTGGAAAGTCATATCCATTTTTGAGTCCACTTTCCTTTTTTCTTGTCAAGATATCGGAAAAAAGTGTTTCTCTATGCGTTGTTGGCCTTTTTTCCGAACAGATTGGTATCTAATTGATCCCTGTGGGACCAATTTTGGCCGAGATAGAGCGCCGAGACTTGAGCGCCGTGACCCGGCGGGAGGCATATTTTGTACCCGGCGCCCCTTCAAGTCGCACTAACTCGCTCATTAATGATCGCACAGGTTCGCTCTTACACAAAAAGAAGCACAAAAGTCTGCCCTACAACATGGATGTATTGCATTTGAACTCGTACTCATCGCGTTTCATATAAAAGCGGAAAAATCCGGAAATTTTGGTGTTTTTTTCAGGGTTGTCTTGGTTTTCGACCGATTTGGGGGAGAGTAACGATCCAGATAGAAAATTTACGTTATCCCAGCTGTCAAGCACTCTTTTCTGAAGCGCTCGACGCTTCTCACGTCATTTTCCGTCAAACTATACCCGTTAAACAGCTAGCATTCAAAATCGGCGCGTGCAGCAAGCGGGTTGCCTACCTGCCCCTTAGGTGACTGCCATGCACCAAGCCAATCAAGCACGAAAAATGTGTAAATTCGGACAGGGACGTGCTAATGGGGTGAACTTTTGGATCGGGTAAGGTTATGACGTAGATTTGCCTCAAAATTCCCAAAGCACCCCGGGACCAGGCTGGCCGTTACGCCTGTCCAATGTTCAAATCGTTGTTAAAATGTAGGGCTTATGCATACCCACCGTAATTTTTAAACCCAAAAGGGCCTGGTTCAATGGGGTTTCTTTTTCAGAACGCCCCCAAGACGCCCTACAATAGTTATTAAAACATGTTTTGTGATCCGAGCTCAAGTATGGACTCTACAGAGGGGCAAAGGCAAAAAAACGCATCATGTGCCACTTTGGCCTTTCTTTGCTGCCTTTGACCCTCTGTAGAGTCCATACTTGAGCTCGGATCACAAAACATGTTTTTAAAAACTATTTTAGGGCGTCTTAGGGTGCGTTCTGCAAAAGAAACCCCATTGAACCAGGCCCCATTTGGGTTTAAAAATTACGGTGGGTATGCATAACCTACATTTTAACAACGATTTTAACATTGGACAGGCGTAACGGCCAGCCTGGTCCCGGGGGGCTTTGGGGAAATTTTTAGGCAAGTATCTACGTCATAACCTTACCCGATCCCAAAAGTTCAGCCCATTAGCACGTCCCTGTCCGAATTTACAGCACTTTTTCGTGCTTGATTGGCTTGGTGCATGGCAGTCACCTAAGGGGCAGGTAGGCAAACCCCCTTGCTGCACGCGCCGATTTTGAATGCTAGCTGTTTTTAAAGGGGATAGTTTGACGGAAAATGACGTGAGAAGCGTCGAGCGCTTCAGAAAAGAGTGCTTGACAGCTGGGATAACGTAAAGTTTCTATCTGGATCGTTACTCTGCCCCAAATCGGTCGAAAACCAAGATAAACCCTGACAAAACACCAAAATTTCCGGATTTTTCCGCTTTTATATGAAACGCGATGAGTACGAGTTCAAATGCAATACATCCATGTTGTAGGGCAGACTTTTGTGCTTCTTTTCGTGTAAGAGTGAACCCTGTGCGATCATGAATGAGCGAGTTAGTGCGACTTGAAGGTTGGCGCCGGGGTACAAAATATGCCTCCCGCCGGGTCACGGCGCTCAAGTCTCGGCGCTCTATCTCGGCCAATATTGGTCCCACAGGGATCAATTAGATACCAATCTGTTCGGAAAAAAAATAGGCCAACAACGCATAGAGAAGCACTTTTTACCGATATCTTGACAAGAAAAGAGGAAAGTGGACTCAAAGATGGATATGACTTTCCAGAAAATCAAAAATTCCACTTTAGTGTAAAATTTTTCCAGTGTGTACTGATATAAAACAAAATCCGACTAATGCAGATTGTAGCTCTATGCATGACGATTAATTTGAGCCGTCGGGCGACTCTGTCGGACGAACCGTTTGGCCGGTATAGGCTGATAACCACTTGGGCCCCAAAATCCAAAATGGCGGACTTTGAACGCCGTTTCCGGGAGAATGCATGATGGGAATTCTTGGGAATTTTCAGGATTTGATGCTTATGGGTGGTACTATCGATCCCCAAAGCGGCGCGTTTTTGCTAATTTTTTTAGGGTCAAAATCTAATCTAACTGGGCTAGTAGGTGAGGGTCGTCCTGGACCAGTCGGGATTCCTGACCTAGCTCAACCCGCGAGCCGCGCCGGCCACGCCGCGGACCGCCACACTCGCTGTTCTAATCCAGGCTGACGGCTCGACACGGAACGGGCCGGGGCCGGAGGGCTCACCAGCCAGCCAACCCGACAGGCGTGACGGACGACGCAGCCCTCCGCGAGTGGAAGGAAGTTTAGTCGGGAAAATTTTGCTGTGTGAGACAAACGTCCCGAATCATTCGGCATTTTCGGCGAAAAGAAAGTACTGACCAACGCCCGCCTTGAGGTTCAACTTCAGTGTCTCAACTATAAATGAAAACCTCAACGGAGTGCTTTGCTCATTAAATAACTCAACAGTTTATTTAACACACTTGGAACATTCACATTGTTCACAACGTACTGACTGACCACTACTTCAACCAAAACGAGTCGAGGAAAAAAACGGCATGAAAATTGAGCATGTTATTTGCCCTTGGAAAATATCTGCTTTTTGCGTGAATTCTACACACTATGGCGGTGCCGGGTGCCCGGTGGCATTGTACGGGAATGTCTCGGAGCGGACAAGCAGACGTTGGGGCATTGCCACAGCATAGCTGCTTCCCCCAACGCCAAACCAATATCAAACATCTGCATGGCATTAATACATACATTTTTTTAAACCGGCAATTTGAAAAGTCGGTATAATTGAAATATATCATACATATTTTAGAAGTTCATTTGACTAGCGCTGCCTCACTCACTCAGTCATAACTAAGATATACATTATTTACATAATTTCTTGATTTTTAATAATCTACCACAACATTAATGAAACAGGGTATTGGTCTTAGAAAGAGATTTTTTTCCAAATGAGCAATTCATTAATTGAATTGATCTATATTCTACATTAGAATGAGTTCTTATAACATAAATAACAACAAAAGGCACCATTAAAGAACAATTGCGTATCATGCACTACATTTTCAGTGAACATAAATTTACCTAGGTTCAGACTTACGTGAAAGTGGGAGACATTTACTTAGTAACAAAATAAAGATACAAGACACATGATTTTAGGGTTTTCATTCTTCATCCAAAATAGTTCTTCTTTTTTTCTCAAAAGTTAAAATTGACAATCAAACTTTACAGAACAAAACAATTTACATTATAACTCCCATAAATATAACAAAGAGAAAAAAGACAAATAAATAATGAATATCAAACAACAAACATGATACGAAACAGAGACATAGAAGAAAGTGATTGTTACAGGTAAGTTCATTACAATGTTCAGGGACTGCAATATAACGTATCACCAATCACCGCGCTGTTAGGCCTCACTCAGTAAGCCTGCAGCGGTTCAAACACTGCCATTCAATTCCAATCACAGGCCTGGCGAAGATGAAACGTTGTCTGGGGAAGCCATGACCTTTATCTCCTCAAAACAAGACCTAATAATGACCAAATTTACCAGTAATCAGGCAAACAACCGAACTTCAAAACTTCCCCAAAGTATTTCACCGGGCGCACTGTTCAATTCCATGCCTGAGTTAAAGTGCTAGCTGGAGTCGTTCCTGCCGTCCAGCGGTCTAGGATCGCTTCGCGACGTCTGCTTGCTCGCTCAAACAGAGTCAAAAATAGATCAATTTCAAATACATTGATATATCACGGACCGTTAAAGCAGAGGGTCATTTGTGACCCAGGCTTTCTCTGGTCAAGTCCACGACGGGAGTCTTTGGCTGCTGTGGCAGCGCTGCCGCGGAGCTGCGTGTTGCGGGCCGCCCTTCCATTCCAGCTGCGGAGCACTGCGGAGCCTGCCAGCCGCCGGGTAGGCCACCCAACGCACCGCGCGGCCACGCGGCGCGCGGCCGGCCGGCGGGAGCGGCGCTGCCAGGCGCTGCCCGCTGCCCGTCGCTGCCGGGGCGGGCCGGGCCGGCTGGGCTGGGTGTGAGAAAGAGAGAGACAGCGAGCGGGCGGGCCTGCAGCCCTGGCAGTCCGTTCGGCCCGCGCAGCCCGAGTCACCCCAATCCCAGCACCAGAGCCGATCCGCCTTACCGGGGAAGTCTCCGGCACCGTTTTCACCTGCTGGAGGTGCTGGCCGAGACGCACCCACACTGCCGCCCCGCCAGCTGCAGCAGCGCCAGCAGCACGGGCACCAGCAACGGGAAGGCCGCGGCCGACGACGAGCCGGGCGCCCCCGCGGCCACCGAGGTGACCCCCACCGCCTTGTGCATGATGGCCTGCGCCACCTGCGAGTGCCACGACACGGTGAACTCGGGCACGTTGGGGGACAGCGCCCACAGCCTGCGGAAAAGAAGTGGTCAATGCGAGCACCGAAGAGGGAACGACACCCCACTGTGAAACCAAGCGTGGAGAACTCCATACTGTACTGTTACGGGGATTGAAGTGCAGAGACTGCAAACTCTGTACTTCCAAGTACCGTATACTCGATTCTAAGAGGCACTCGATTCTAAGACGCACCCCGATTTTCGACCTCCAAAATCGGAAAAAAGGGTGCGTCTTAGAATCGAGTATATACGGTACATTTCAAGTGTGGAGGTTCCCCACGGTTGGTTTCACAGTGCCTACACGGCCTCGACGCCTACCTGACGATGACGGAGTTGAGCTTCCAGGGCAGTTCAAATGTCTTCCTGGAGTCGCGGGGGCAGAACGTGAACAAGGGCCTGGACACGTCCTCGTCCTCGTTGTACCGGTGGATCGTGATGTTCCACGTGCCGCAGGGCTCTGCGGGACAGAGAGGCCGGTTTAAGCAGAGACAGACAAAGCAGAGGCAGGCCTGCGGGGCGCACTCCCTTTCAACGAATGTGATATTTGTAAGAAAGTGGACTTTCCAGTTTCGTTTGAGTGCGAACTGACATTCGTCGAATACCAGTGTGGCGGGGTGGCGGGGTACTCACGGCTCTGCGGCGTGGACACGCTGATGCGCAGTTCTCGCTCGATGTTGGACAGCAGCACCCACTTGCAGTCCATGTGCACGAAGTGGTTGTTGTTGCCCTTGACGCGCTCGTCGAGCCGCACGCGCCACGACTCGATGGTGCCCGAGTGGCGCAGGATCTTCTGGCGGCCGCACGCGCCGTCCTGGGCGAAGGCGTAGTCCGCCTGCATGGCGAAGCCCTTCATGGCCCACGTGAAGTGCGCCACGTTGTACTCCAGGCTGAGCGGGCCCCACGACCGGATGCCCAGCGGCAGGGGGATCTTGTCCGGGTCGCCGCACAGGCACGACAGGTCGAAGCCCGCCGCGTCCACCACGCGCACGTGGTCCACGCTGGACAGCGGCGTGGGCTCGGAGAAGCAGCGGCAGCCCAGGCCGTCGCAGTACGTCCAGCAGCCCGGGTCCGGCTTCAGCCCAAGCGCGCCCAGCTGTGGGGTCACCAAAACACACCGTGACAAGTTAAAAACCATTCCGGTGACGATGAGCCGCGTGCGTCTAGCGCTGTCGTCTCGCGGCCGTTTGCCGCCACCGTCAGCCCGCCCCATTCTTGGCGGCTCTCACTCACCGACAGCGTGACGCTCTGGCCCGCCTGCGGCTGGAAGGTCTGCACGCACTTGAGCTGCCCCTGGACGTTCCAGAACAGGTGCTGGTTCCCAGGGCTGGTGATGCTGCCGGCCCAGCCGGGCCCGCTGGGCACGGCCAAGGCCCCCGTCGCGCCGCCGGCCACCGCGTTGCCGCCTCCGGAGGCGGGGTCACCCCAGGCCTCCAGCTGGAACAGGTCGCGCATAATCAGTTTGCTGGTTTCCATCCTCGCGGTGTCGCTTGGAAAACAGTGGCCTCGCTGGAGGGGCTCGGTGGGTCGAGCATGATGCACTGGAAAGCCACCTGGAAGCTAGGCGAACAGATTCAGGCAGGCAAAAGGCATGGCTTAAGATTTTCAGCGCACGCCGCTGCCGTCGCTACTCCCTGCATGGAGGGCGGCGCGCGCGCGCGGGGTATGGACAGATCAAGGCACGGTCTAATTAAATGCTCATGCGAGCGAGGCGGTCCAGGGATGGCAGAGGACGGGATGCGACGGCCGTGCGTGCAGGCGGGTCCATAGTGGAGGGGAAGAAGGAGGACAACTGGCCGTCAGTACGGCCCTGAAAGGCACAAGTGTGCTTACTGTGCTGCTCTGCCCTCCCCCTGGATCCGCCACTGCAGTGTGATCGGCACTCCTCTTTCGTTCCAATTTCGAACTCCGCGCTCCGCCCGCCACTGTTTCACTGTATTACACCCGGCCGGGCCAACACAAAGGGAGCGGGGCGCGTCCGGAGTGCCGCCGCGCCGCCTCGTTCCGACGCCACCCCGCGCGGCGGTGCGGCGAGTGTTGAGGCCGAGCCGGGCTTGGCCGGGCTTACCGGAGTGGTGCTGAGCGCGGGCAGAGCGGCAGAGCGCTGGCCGGCCCGCCGTCCGCTCCGCGCTCCGCCTCGCCGGCTAAATTATCGAGGCCAGTGTGTGCTTGGTGCCACCGGCAGCCAAGCCGGCAGCAGCGGAGCGGCGGCGCGGCATTTCGCTGTTGATGAGGCACTCCAGGGCCTCCTTCTGTCAACCCCACCCCTCCCCATCCCTCACCGCCCTCGTTCTCGCTGCGTCATCTTCGGCCTCCGCCACTCCGCGAGCTCACCTAGCGCCTGTCGTTGGCAGGGTAGGCCACCCGGCCACCAGCTGTGCGACGAGCGCTCGCATGTTGCCTACCCGGCCGGGCGGCCTTCGGCGGGCCACCCTGGTGGAGCACCCTCCCCTCGTGGGACGTTCCGACGCTCGGGGACGTCCGAGTGTCCGAGGGGCGGCGAGCGAATCAGGCGCTGGCCCTCACGCACGCACCCCGCCGGCTCCGCCACGCTGGCTGAACCTTCCCCGGCGATTACATAGGGACTGGGCCAACGGGGCGAGGGGGGCTCAGTGCCACCTGTGATTGATGTTTGCACGGAGCAAACCCGTCAACGTGCGTGTGGGTGCGAGGGAGAGGGAGGGAGACAGGGGGGTGGGTGTGAGAGAGACAGAAGCAGGTCACACACCCTGGTCGGTGGGAATGAGCTCAGTTTGAATCAGTCTGATGTATCGCGGCCGCGTCGGTGTGCGTAGGCGTGAGGTGGTGTGCGTGTGTGCGTCTGTGTGCCAGGCAGGCTTACGCCCTATCCCACCCAGGGCAGTTCGGAGGCAGGTCTGTTTGGAGCCCCGCTTATGTTTGAGAGAGGCTTTGCGCAGGGAGGGGGCGGGGTTTAACTCCCACAACCCCCGTAAAACCCCTTTAAAACCCCCTTAAAACCTCGCGCGAGTGCGCGTCACGCTCGGTTCGTATTGATAATGAGCAGGCCAATGAATAAACGCGTCCCGGGTTAAAGTTCCCGGCCATCCGCTGCCGTCTGTTCGCCTCTGCATAGATTAACGCCACGCGATAAATCCCGACCAACGCGCTCGCCGTTTCGCCGCTGGGATCCGCCGTTGTTTAATCGGTGAAATTGTTTCTTGTTTTTGTGTGTTCTTTTCGCGTGGCGTAAACAGATTCGCCTCACCTGGTCCGTGGTGGCGGTCGTGGCCACCAGGTAGCGGCCCTCCGCCTCGGCCTGCGCCGCCGCCGCCACGGCGGCCGTCACGTTGGGGCCCAGGAAGCGGGCGCTGCACAGCGAGTCCGTCTCGGGGGAGCCCTGCGTCGATTCTGCACAGCAACAACAAAGGGCTGTCATGGCCAACAACAACAACAACAACAACAAGCCAGCGGGGCCCCGGCAAAGAAAGGGCGGCCGCAGACTTGCGGCTTTCGAACCCGCGAACCCGCGGCACGGCGTTCTTCGGGGGCCCATCGAGCCCATCCAGGCCATCCCGACCAACGAGGAAGAACCGCACGCTTCGCCCGCTCGGCTCGCTCCGTTTCCATCATTATCCCACGCTACGTGCCGCGCAGGGCTGCGCAGTGCCGCGCCTGTGGCTGGGCAGTGCGGCTGCAGCCAAGCCGCCAGCAACCAATTTTGAGCGCGGAACGCTCCGGCGGTGCTGCCCTGCACTCTCAAAGTCTCATGGTGAAGCCTCTCCACATCACTGCTATTCAACGAACGTGACGTAAGAAGGTGAATTCTGTCTCGTTCGCGGATCATGGAGAAAACTCTCCATCCTGGTGCAGCCTTCCGCCGTAAGAAGAGAGTGCATAAGACGCGTTATTCGCCTCAAACGTCGTCGTGCTGTGAAACACTTCCCACCGTGCTATTTAACGAACGTGACGTAAGAAGGTGAATTCTGTCTCGTTCGCGGATCATGGAGAAAACTCTCCATCCTGGTGCAGCCTTCCGCCGTAAGAAGAGAGTGCATTAGCCGCGTTATTCGCCTCAAACGTCGTCGTGCTGTGAAACACTTCCCAACGGTTTCGAGCACTTTGGCAACTTTGTAATCTAGTTTGAGGCGTGTGTGCACAGTGCAGGCACAGTGCAGGCGCGCTTTACTCACTATCGTGGAAGAGGAAGGCGCCGTCGACGAACTCCTGGTCGGGGCGGAGCGACGCGCTGCGGACCAGGTTGAGCGCCATGTGCGAGCCCCGCGACATCATCGTCTGCTGGCTCTGGAACCTGCGCGCGGAAAGCAAACAAAAATGAATAAAAAAACAAAAAAAAAACAATGAAAACTCTTTGGGGACAGGGTAGTCTGCGTCGCGCGGACTCACTCGACATTCCATTTATCAGTGGGGACGTCAAAGAGTCATCAATGCGGAATGGGGGAGCGGATCAAGACTACAGACGAGAAAATAAAATCCGACAGCACCCTGGGCGCGTGTCAGGCTCGTGTCAGGCGCGTATCAGGCTTGTCAGGCGCGTATCTGGCGATTGCAGGCGCGTGTTCGGTACGTGTCAGGTAGGTGTCAGGTACTTGTAAGGTACTCTGCAAACTCAACAGTGTACTCAGTACACTCTCTTTAGAGTGTACTCATGAGTACACTATCTTTAGCGTGTACTCATGAGTACACTCTCTTCAGCGTGTACTCACGAGTACACTCCCACGAACGTGTACTCAGCTGCATGAATTGTGCAGACTTAAGCACACCGTTAGAGTGTACTCAGCTAAGCACACTTTCGTTAGAGTGTACTCAGCTAAGCACACTCTCGTTAGAGTGTACTCAGCTGAGCACACTCTCGCCTGAGTGTGCTTATGAGTACACTCCAAATAGAGTGTACTGAGCACTCTGTACAGTTTGCAGAGTACGTGTCAGGTACGTGTCAGGTGCGCAGGTGCGTGTCAGGCACGTGTCAGGTACGTGTCAGGTACGTGTCAGGTGCGTGTCAGGCACGTGTCAGGTACGTGTCAGGCACGTGTCAGGTACGTGTCCGGCCCATGTCAGGCGCGTGCCAGGGGCGTCGCACAGGCGTTTGTCAGGCGCGTGCAGGCGAGACGTGACTGACCTGCCGGACGGGTCGTGCGCGTGCTTCGTCATGGGGCTGCACAGCCGCTTGTCCGGCGTGGCCATGTCCGGCCCCAGGAAGATGTCGAAGTGCGAGCCGCAGGAAGGCGCCCTGAAACAAGTCAAACCGAGCATTTCAATCGATTTCAATACTTTTTGAAACTTTCGCTGTTAAAACAACGATGTAAACACACGGGTAATGTGCATTGTTACGCGCTCCGTCAAGCATCTTGGCGCTTGAGCCCTTCTTGAGGAGTTCAAAGAAACAACCACCTTGAACCGTCATGGGGAAGTTCCCCTGTACGCTTAAAGAAGAGCGTAGGGCACCCTTCTCCAGGCGCAATGTTGTTACGCCACTACTTTTGCCAACAGTGTAGCCCCGCACAGAGAAAAAAGAATCATAATTTCTAATCTCGGTTATTCGCATGACAGTGCCGCCATGTTTAAAAACCTTCCCCTCGGAATTCGTTTCCGCTTCCGAGGCCGCGTCGCCGCGCTGCTTCCCCCGAGCCGAGACAAGGCGCAAAAGCACGAGGCGCAAGGCACGGGGCCCCGGGGCCGCACCGGAGGCGACGAGGCAACGAGGCACGGCCCGGCACGGCACGGCCCGGCTCGGAATATTGCGAATATTGTGTATTTTTCTTTGCGCCGCCGAAGACGCCGGCAGCGGCCGGCTCAACGTATGCAACAATAACAGCGAAAATGTGCCTTATAGCGCCGCCGCGGGCAGAGTGTCTGTCTGTCCTTCTCTCTCACTCTCTCTCACTCTCTCTCACTCACTCTCTCTCTCTCTCTCTCTCTCTCTCTCTCTCTCTCTCTCTCTCTCTCTCTCTCTCACTCTACGGGACCGTTACAACACACCGGAAATTTGAAACTGCCGCCACATCGGCTGGCTGGCAAAGCGTCGTCGTCGCCGTCGTAGTGCCCGTCGGGAGGGGTGGTTCCTGAAAGTGCAGTGGTCGCAGGCGCGGATTCAGTGGGGGGGGGGGAGGGGAGGTTCCCTTCCCCAAAGGCACCTAGATAACGGACAGAGAGGTAGGCGAAACGCCACACTTTTCCCAGGCAGGAGGACTACACACACACACACACACACACACACACACACACACACACACACACGCGCGCACACACGCACACACACACACACACACACACACGGCGAAAGGGCGCCTCTGGACCCGCCACCGAGTGTTCGCAGAGTGGCACGGTTGACGGACGGGGCTCGCAGTCGAGTGGCGGCAGCGGCCGCTTTTGTTGAGCCCATCAGGGACATGAGGGCGACGGGGACGACTGGGACGTCGGCCGAGCGCTGCAGCGTTACGTAACGGGGTGCATGCTGCGAGTGCAGCCAAGCCGGTCCGGTATTGAAAGCAGCGATCCGACGGCAAAGAGCGCCTTCCGTCCGGGAAAAAAAAACGATAAAAAAAACACAGGGCTCTATGGCCTTCCACGGTGCGGGCGAAGGGCTTTGCAGGACCATTAATGAAAATGGGGGGCAGGGGGCACCGCCCAATAGTCTTTGTTCCTCTCCGGAAGTCTGAGTGTGTGCGTGAGAGAGAGAGAGAGAGAGAGAGAGAGAGCACCCGCGCATTGCGTTCTTTGAGCAGCACATGAAGGAGGATATGCGGAGGGACCGCGAGGAGACATGAGCAAAGGGCGGGGGGGAGCGGGGGGGGGGGGGGGGCGAGGACAGAGCGAGAAGGAGCCCGCTCTTCGCCCTTCGCGCCAAGCCAACCGCAAGGAGGCAAACTTTCTCAATATGAGACCACCTTGGCCCTCTTTTTTTTTCGCCGGCTCTCTCTTTTTTGTCTTTCCCTCTCTCTTTTTGTTTCCAGCCACCAAAGAGCGTCAGTCATGTGGGTGTGGGAGTGAAAACAGAGGGAGCCACGCGGGGGAAAGGGGGGAGGGGGAGGAGGGGCGCACTGACAGTGGACAGGCCGTGCCCTCCGCCCTCGGACAACCTCTTTCACTCCCCCGCAATTGTAAAGCCAGCTAGCGGTGGCAAGGGTCACTAGAGGGCCTCCTTCCCTCCCTCCCCCACCTTCTTCCCCCAACCACTTCTCCACGCCGATTCCACTTAAACGCAGGCAGCGCCAAAGACAACGCTTGGCGGACACGGCGACCTACTTGAGCTTGTAGTTAAAGATGGACAGCTTGACGACGTCCGAGGGCCGGCCGTGGAACTGCACGGACAGGTTGTAGCAGCCCGAGTGGTGGCGGCTGTCCAGGACGCCGGAGCGCAGGTCGGTGCCGGAGAAGGCCACGGCGCAGCCGCGCGACGCGCCGTCCACTGCAACAAACGCAACCACGTCGTGACCACGTCGTGGCGGCGCTCCAAGTTGGCGGACAAAAGGCGCACGCCGACATCAAAACTGGGGGACAGGAAAACGTGCCGCGGGGCGCAAGGGAGAAGGGGGATGACGCGGCGCGAAAGCCGGAACACCAGCCGAGCAGAAAGGCACGGGGAAATCATTGACGAACCGCCGGGGAGGCAACCCGTTCCCACAAAGCCACTTCGTGTTTTATTCTGATTCCGTGCTGGCCTGATTGAAGCCGGTGCCGAAAATTCGCAGCCAGTACGGGGCGATCTCGGCGCGGCGACCCTGCGTCGGGTCTGCGGCCGGTCCAGCCGGGGGAGTGGGGCAAGGGGCTGGCTGCGGCTGCGGGTCCACGGCCGGCCGCAGGGTGCCGCAGGGTACCGCAGGCGGCGCACTATCGCCAGGTACTCACTGAGCGCGGTGGGGGCGGGCGTGGGCGGCGTCACGGTGGTGGTGGCGCGGTGGCCCTTGCCGCGGTCGCGACCCTCGCGGCCCTCGCCGTCCTTGCGCCGCTCCTCCTTCTTGGCCTCGCGCCACTCGCCGCGGACGTTCTCCTCCTTGCCGAAGTCCAGCCGCGCCAGGAAGCCGTTGTAGTTGTAGGGCGGCTTGGACGGGCCGGCGCTGCGGACAGAGACATGGGTCAGAGACTTGGGTCAGGGACTTGGATCAGGGACTTGTGTCAGGGACTTGGGTCAGGGACTTGGATCAGAGACTTGGGTCAGAGACTTGGGTCAGAGACTTGGGTCAGAGACTTGGGTCAGAGACTTGGGTCAGAGACTTGGGTCAGAGACTTAGGTCACATACTAGGGTCAGAGACTTGGGTCAGGGACTTGGGTCAGAGACTTGGGTCAGGGACTTGGGTCAGGGACTTGGGTCAGAGACCTGGGTCAGAGACTTGGGTCAGGGACTTGGGTCAGAGACTCGGGTCAGAGTCTCGGGTCAGAGCCCAGACTGACCGGTTCAGAGACTGGGTCAGAGGTCTGGTCAGAGACCCTCGAGGGACACGGCCCAAAGGGCGGCAGAGCGGCAGCAGTCGCTTTTCATTAAAACGAGAACGGCTCACACAGCAAATAAGCCAAAACGACCCGCCACTCGATGTAAAAGTGTCCGTGCGCGGAATGGACTATCGCCGGCATTGGCTGAATGACGTCATTTCTATTGTCATTTCACAAAAGCCAATTCGCACGCCGCCTGCTCCGGCCCGCCAGTTTATGCAGCGGGGCGTCCCGCCGGTCAGAGTTGTGCCTACTTGAACTGGATGTAGACGTTGGGCCCGGGCAACTCGAAGACCGTCTTGGACATGTCGCATATGGTGTGCACCCGCAGGCCCGAGGGTCCGGAGCCGTGGTAGATGATGATGTTGTCCGTGGCGCAGTGCCTGGAACAAGCAGAGAGAAGGAATAAAAACAGGGCGGCCAACTCGAGAAAACAAACTCAAGACACAAGACACACAGGCTGCTGCTGCTGCGGCCGCTGCGGCTGTGGCCGAGACGAACAAGTGGACGCGCACCATGGGATTTGCGCGGTGCCCCGGTGTGACTGGCGCCGCCACTCCCTTTGAACAGTTAGGTTCCATAGATGGAGAAGCATGGTCCAACGCCACCAGGTCGGAATTAATTTTGCCAAGCGAAGCGGATGGTTCCTCCCCCTCAGACACCTTTAGCTCACCCTATGTATTTTACTTTTATAATAATCTTTAGATGGTATTTTACTATAATAGTATGCAGTCCGACGGAGCCATGCATATAGGAAAGCTATGAAGTACAAGCTGCACCAAAGAGAGTAGTCTAGCAAGCTCAGCAGCGAGGCCACTGTTTCATTTTCTGGTGGGCAATACACCGCGAGAAGCTGCAACGCATCGCGGCGAGACTGTCAGGCGCACGCGGCATCGACGTGCGAGCGCAGCAAGCGCCAAAAGAACAGACAGAGACAGAGACGGGGTCGGACGGGCTCCAGTCTTGGCCTGAGCCAATCGGCTGGAGAGCCGCGCTGGTGTGCGGGGCAGTGCGGGGCAGCGCGGGGCCGGAGGCACCGCCAGGGTAGCCAACCAGCCGTTGCCTTTTAGCTCATTGCACCCGCAGTGCAGCCAACACAACAAACAGACCGACGGCGCGTCTCATCAGGTCAAAGGGCCACGTGACGGGAATAGCACCGCCACCCAGTCTGCCCAGTCCGGCGGGGTGGCTTGGACGTTTTGAGGTTGGCAACACGAGACTGGGAGCAAGGGGGGGGGGAAGGAACGGGGCAAAGTTGACAGGGTACCGGTGCGTGCTTTACTGCTGCCTGGCGGCGCTGCACTTTTCCATCTCGCCAAAGGCTCGGTGCCGTGCCCTGCCCTGCCCTGCCGTGCCCTGCCCTGCCCTGCCGTGCCCTGCCGTGCCCTGCCCTGCCGTGCCCTGCCGCCCTGCCAGGCCGCGCCGTTCTTGATGGCCTCCAGGGCGCCTCATGTCGTTGTCTCGGGCCTTGGCAGCGCTTGGCGCCGCTCCAAAGACCGCCGCCAGAGGCCGCCAGCAGCGCGGCAGTGCGGCGCAGCGGAGCCAGGGCAGCCCAGCGCAGCGCAGCGCCCCAAAATGCAGCCGTCAGCGCCGAGTAGAGCATCGGCAGGCACGGCCCGTCAGCCGCAGCACCGCGCAGCACTGCGTAGCACCGCCACCTGCACCTGCGCGTCAATCGCTCGCCTGGTAAAGGGCGGCGACGACGAAAACGGGGATGGCGAGGACGATGAGGATGACGAGGATGATGAGGACGACGACGGCGACGAGGGCGACGACGACGGGACGGGGACGAGGGTGACGACGGGGATGACGACGAGGACCACGAGCACGACGAATAGGGGGACGACGATCAGGACGATGGCGACGAACAGGAGGCTGACGACAACGAGGAAAAGGGGGCCTACGCGACCAGCATGATGAACTACCAGGACGACGGCTAATAGGACAAGGCGGCGGCGGTATCGACGAGGAAATTATCCGCGGCCCCTTTGTCTCCGCGGCGGTTGGCCCTCTGGGTTGGCCCGGCCGGGGCCTCGCGGGGCCGCGCCACCAAATCCACCCTGTCGAGCCGAATGGCGCGGATGACGTACGCCCCCGCCGAGGTGCGGGCCGCGAGGCCGACGCCGACGCGCCACCGCCAGGACAAGAAGAGGCGCCGCTCGCGCCCGTGGCGGAAGATGCGATCGTAACAAGGGGGCGGCCCATTAGCACAAATATCGCATTAGCCGGCAAAACAGGCCAATAGATACGGCCATATACCTCGCCTCGCTGCGGGCCGCGAGGGCCGCCCCATTGGGCCGCGCGCACGCACTACGCACACTAGCGCGTTGTTTTCAATGCGTCCGTTCTCCGCTAGCCCGCGGCGCTGTAAAACATGCGCGTGGACCCATGGGACGCACGCCCTACCTGGCCGACAGAGTTTCACCCCCCGGGCAGCGCACGGCGGCGCGGTGGAGGGGGAGGGGGAGGGGGAGGGAAAACAGTGGAGGGGCCGGAATGCATATTTGGCAGTGATACGCCGCGTTCGGCTGCCACCGTTTTCAGCAAACCGCCGCGGCATTCCACGCTTCGCGCTTCCACGCGCCTTGCGTTCTACATCGCGGAGTGGAACTACATGAAAAATTCCGCCGCGCTCGATCGCGATGGATTTTGAATTCTTTTTCGTGTCATCAGTGCCGGTGCGGACTTTTATTTTATTTTCTGCGAAGTGGTAACCGCGTTCGGTTGCCGCCAAAGGCTTCTCTCCTCGCGTGGGTCGCCTTGTTTTCGTGGTGGCGCGGCCGCCGTCAGGACCGTCAAGACGCGTCCGGGTGAACCGAAGGGAATACTTTGACAAGTCCCGGCGCGCCGTGCCGCCGTGCCGCCATACCGCCGCCCCGTCTCGGACGAGAACCATTCTCTGGTGGGGGCGGGGCGGGGCGGGGCGGGGCGGGGCGCGGCGGGAAAGGTTTGAATCAGCTCATCGCCAGGGTTTGGCCGAAGTTGAACGTTGTTGAGCGTCAGGCAGCCAGGGTGACCGGCTGACACAACCGAAAAAGGAAACAGCATCCACAAAACTTGGGCCGAAGGAGGGAGGCCCCGAGGGGCGCGGCACCGCGGGGGGCGACGCCCTGCGACGCCCTGCGACGCCCTGCGACGCCCTGCGACGCCCTGCGACGCCCTGCGACGCCCTGCGACGCCCTGCGACGCCCTGCGACGCCCTCGCCCAGCAGCATCGGCGGTGTGCGGACATTTAAGTTGATTTTAATGGGAAACATCGGACGAGTCGCAGCAACTTCCCTCCCGCGCTACAAGTTGCGACGAGACCCTCATCCTTCTTGCCGAGCTCCTGCCGTCCCCATTACGACGCGGAAGCACAAACAAGCCCGGGGTGGACTGCGTCGCTGCGCCGCTAGCGCCGCTAGTAAAGCACTAAACTGAAACCAGGGCGAAACAAAACGGAAACGAAATAAAGAAGTGAAAAAATAACGAGGAAACACAAGGAGCACGCGCACGCACACTGGGCGAGGCAGAGAGCGGTTCGCAAAGCGTTTCCCTAAATAACGGTCCCTGCGTCACTCCCAATACGCGCTGCCTCGCGTCGCTCTATTTCCTGTTTTTCTACTCGGCAGAGACAGACGGAGACAGCCTCGGCGCCATGGGGAACATCTTCGCGGGGACGGCGGAGAGATGTAAGCAAAATGTTGTTCCTCGCTGATGACTACTCACGCGAGGGGCAGGTTGACGGCGAGCAGCTCCAGGGTCACCTTGGCGCGCACCGAGGACGCCGTCACGAGGAAGCCGCAGCTCAGGCCGCCCGGGTACAGCCCCGGGTACCCGGGACTGGCCAGCACGCAGCCGCCCGCGCAGGTGAAGTCCTGGTATATCCAGTCGCACTCTGGAGAAGGAATTCACAAAAAATTAATTCAACTTCAGGGACCTGGAGGAGAAAACATTTCTTTCGAGGCTCGCGCTTCCTTTGAGGCCGGCGGCGCCGATCGAGAGCTCACCGGTGTTCTCCTTCCGCTTGCCGCCCTTGGGCAGGAAGCCCACGCCCGTCGCGTTGGCCGGGGTGAAGCTGTAGTAGGCCAGGAACTGGGACCGCTCGCTGGGCTCCGTCACCCTGGACAACAGCGGCAAAAAAAGGCAACCATTAGCGTCGACGTCCTCAAGGCCGTCTACAAGGCCGTCTACAAGGTCGCACTAATTACTCAGACGCTTCGACAGGCGACACGCTTCTCCTCCGCGCCACTGTCGATGACAGCAAAGCCGCGCACACAAACACGTCCTACACGCTTCGCCAAAAACTTTTGTCCGCCTTGTCCTTTTCCTCGGATTGCTCGGCGGATAGTGAATGCCCAACTACTCCTGGCCGGGCGGGCTGGGGCGGGCCCGCCTCCACTCGTCTGGCCCGCCTGTCACGCGGCGGGACGCGGCGGCCAAGTGGCTGCGATTCCCTCCCCCGGGACTCCCCCGGGACTCGGTTCTCATCGCAGAAAACAAAAGCCGCGATAACTTTGCCGCATGGCTGTACCAGTCGGCGCGGCCGCGGCCGAGGCCTGGCCAAGGCTGGCGCGGCAGGCTGCAGGTCGCATTATCCCCCTTCCCTCTTTTCAGATGGATGAGCCGCCGCCCGTCCCTGACTGCCCTGACGTACTGTACCTCGGCGCTTTGTCCGACACACCCCCGGGGCCCGGGACACGCCGCCACGCCGCCGAGCCGCCGCCACGTCCGGGAGGCCGTCTTGATGACAGGCGGCCCGCCGCGCAGCCAGGCCGTCGGCCAGGCCGTCCGGACTCCACGACGAGGTACGAAGTAGGGCGGCCTGTTCCCTTTTCGCCGCCAGGTTTGTTTTCCTCCCTCTCGAGAGGGCGGCGGCGTCTTCTGGGCGGCGCCCAGCCCGGCAGGCAGGCAGGCAGGCAGGCGGGCAGGCAGGCAGGCAGGCAGGCCTGGCGCCGGGCCACGCAGTCCTATTACAGGTGGCCTGCGCCCCTGCGCCTCGCCTGCGTGCATTGGGGTGACAAAAGGACCGCCCGGCTGGCTGGCCCGGCTGAACACACAACGGCCGTGCGTAGCAGGCCCTGCACGCCCTGCGCCTCAACGGGCTGCCAGCCCTGCCTGTCCGCCCGCCGGGCCGCCAGCCCTGGCCGGGACGTGCCCGGAGGCCCTGCGGGTGAATACAGTGGGCGCGAGCGCGGTTCAAAGGGAAGCCCCGCGCCTCGCGCCGCCTCGCGCCGTCAGCCTGCCAGCTCGCGGCCGTCTTGGGGCGCCCGGCGAACGCCTGGCACGCCGAGCACGCCGAGCACGCCTCCAGCGCGGCCAGCAGCTGCATCGGGCTGCGCTAATCATCCGTCTCGACCGCACCCCCTCCTCCCTCCCAGAAATGAAAGTGCTGCCGTAACTGATGCGGCTCCAGGGAGGGAGGCTGGGCCAGGCAGGGCCAGGCAGGGCCAGGCAGGGCCAACGCAGGGAGGGTGGGGTAAAGAATGGCTGCGGCGCCCTACCCTTGCCCATGTCCCGACATCGCCACCGTCACTACCCCGCGCGCCGCCTATGTATCGACGACCATGTCCCGACATCGCTATGCCGTCGCTACCCCACGCGCCGCCCAATTATTACATTCACTCCGAACGAGGCGGGACAAGACTGAGAGTCATTTTCGTCACTCTGTCTCTCTCGCGCTCTTGCGGCGTGTCCTGTAGGTGCGAGAGAGACAGTGACAGAATCGATTTTCGGAACAAGGTTGCTGCAAGGCTGCCGTCGGGTCGGGGAAGAGAGCGAGAGAGTGGGTGCCCCGAGTCCTTGGTTCCATCATTTAATCATCAGGGTTCGGGAGTTCACTCGGCGCCCCGCCGCCAGGCAGCCAGGCAGCCAGGCAGGCAGCCAGGCAGGCAGGCAGCCAGCAGCACTCTGGGCGGCGAGACTGCTCGCCGTGAATCAGGCCAAACAACACGGCGAAACACCGCGGGTCCCTCGATGCACAACCCCCTGCACATTTATCGCAAAGGACTGCAATACACTCGCCGAGCCTCCGCACTGCAACGAGCCCCCCCCCCCAACCGCCCCCACGAGTTTTATTCGACGCTGATGTGTCATCTCGATCAGCATTGCGTCCCGGTGGGAGAGGACCCCGCCCCCCCTCCCCCCGGCGGGGTCTCTGATCCCCCATGACAGTCAATTCTTACTGTCTTAAGAGATTTCCCCAGGGCGGGGGTGGCAGGGCGGTGCCGGCGGTGCCGGCAGGGCGTCACCGGAGTGGCGGGCCGCCACACACGGCCTCGCCGGCCCCGCCGGCCTCGGCACCTGGCTGGGTGCAGCAGCGTCCTCCACTCGAACGGCGAGCCGGTGCCGCGGCGACGGACGCGTCCCCGCGGCGCTCCGCTACCCGCACCCCCCCCCCCCTTTCCGCTCATTTTGTATTCTCTCTTCCGCAATCACCCGCGGCCGCGCCCGCCTCGGAGGACCGCCTCGGAGGGCCGCGGCACCAGGCGGCGGCAAAAGAAACAAAAAGGAGAGCGCTCCCCAAAGAATGGCTCTTCGAACGCGCCGCCGAGCACATTCAGCTGTTTGTCGCGAGCGCGGTCGCTTTGCTCCAGCCGACCTACTGGCTCAATAGGGTAAACCTCTCTCGCATTGTTCTAAATTTAATTGCTTCTGCTGCTGTCCCAATTTCCGCTTCAGAAAAATATTTTGTGGTTGGCAAAGTACTCGCTGAGCATCCTCCTCCAGCGGTCAAATTGTTTCTTTGCTGCACTGAAAAACCAAACGTGGTCTCGACCGCACCAACTGGTGTGGTAAAATGGGTGCCATTTTGGCCACATCAGTTGGTGTGGTCTATCACGTTTGGTGCGTGGCCAAACGTGGCCAAACGTGGTCTAGACTCTAGACCACACCAACAGATGTGGTCAAAATGGCACCCATCTGACCACACCAGTGGTGCGGTCTGGACCACGTTTGGTTTTTCAGCGTGTTTTCTTTTTTTTCTGCACGTGTACTGTTTGCACCCGGCCTCCTCTGCGCCACCCTTGCCACGCGGTGGATTAGGAACGTCGTCAAATTTTCAGCGCAGCCATAAATATGGTAAGTCGGACCGAATCCACGCAAAAATAGCGCCGCGTTAAGAATTACTGGTTAAATAATTGAGCGGCCGTGCGCGTCCCGCCAGCAGACTGATTCCGAGAAGTCGTTTTCGTCGCGCTGTCTCTCTCGCACCTGCACCGGGCGCCACGTGAGTGCGAGAGAGACAGAGCGACGGAGAGGACTGTGGGCCTCGGCCGGGGCGGAAGACGACCAGGGAAAGCCTCCGCTCCGCCACGGCGACCGACGGCGGCCCAGTCCACACCCGCTGTGCCGGCCGTGCCCGTGCCCACGGCGCCGGGACAAACAGGACCGCTCGACTCGGCGGCCCGGCAGCCAGCCCCGGCCGGGCCCAGACCTTCGCTAAATTAGTAATCACCTGTTCAGTGGAAAGGTCGAGCACCTGTGAGCGGGCGGAGCAGGCGGAGCGAGTCGGGTACAGTGTTCCTTCCCAATCGGGCGGACGAGGACCTTCTGCCGGTCGAGGGCGGCACCGAGGCCTCGAGGGTCGCCGACTCGACCCCTGTGCTCGCTCGCGCTCCAGGCTCCGTTCTCTGAGTGTGACGGAGCTCCAGAGCAACGCGTCTTAATCTCCCGCTGTTCTCTAATCCGCGCGGCAAAGTGGCTTCGTTTGGCGACTCGCGGCCAAATAATGAACGCTTTAAAAGTTGTGTGGCGCGCTCTCGCTGCGACAGCCGCGCTCTAGTGGGCTGCGTTCCGAAAGCCGCGCCGCGTCGTTCGGGTGCAAAAGAGGATCGGGCTTCAGTTTTTCTTTTTGTCTCCCTTGTTTGCTCAGACGGGGTGCGTGGCGGGGCGCGGCGGGGTGGGGCGGGGTGGCCGGGTCAAGCCGGTCCGCAGGGCAGGGAAGGCTTGCTTCGCTTGCGGCGGGTTGACGAAGGGCAGCCCCCAGGGAGGCGGGCCGCCGAGACCGCCTAGGCTAGGTTAGCCGGGTCGCTCCGTCTCCCTCGCACCCCTGCGAGTCGTGTCCGAGGGGTCCCGCGAGAGCGAGAGAGACCGGCAACGGCCCAGGCTGGCCGCAGGCGAGGCAACACGGGCTTTAAGACCGACCACTCCGCCGCTCCGAGTTGACTGAATTCCAGACGAGCTGCCATTGTCACGTCGACGATGCGATATCGGGTCCGGCGGGAATGGCGAATTAGGGAGGGAAAGGTGGTGTGCCGCACCGCGCCGGGAATGCAGGGGTCTGGCTGGGAATGCCTGGCAGTGCCTGGCAGTGCCTGGTTACACCGCCGGGATGTACATCGGGGCAATGGCCCAACCTAGGCCTCGCCACGGCGGGCCACGGTGCGCAGGACTGGCAGGACACGTGGGCCGCTGGCTGCGCCGCTTCGGTAACTATGTCACGACCGCAGCGGCGGAATAACTTCGGCAAGCAAACAAAATAAAGGGAGCGGTCGGGGGAAAAAAGTGGCAGGAAACAAACTCCGCTTGTCTGACTGCGGGTCGATGAACTACCCCGTAAGTTTTGCAAAGACCTGGTTACGCCACGCCGGCCGGAGCGGCGCGCTCGCGAACGCACTCCTTCGGCAGCGGTCGGATTTCGGAAAGATTACTGGGCAGGCGGGGGCGCGGCTGCGACGCAGCCCGTGCCCACAAACGCCTTTTCCAGCAGAAAGGTCCCGCGTTCTTCAGAACAAGCTTGTACCCGAACAATCTTAAGTTGAAGCACAAGTGTTTTTTTTAAAGTGGGTTGCTTTATTTTCTTGTTACGTCCCGGTAGCTCCATCGGAGTTTTAAAGCTGCGAGCCGACGCCCACCACTTGATGTGACGAGAGCCAATAAGAGCGAAGAGAGAAAGAGAGAGGATTTTTTTTGCAGTGGTGGGGGGTTGCGCATCAGCAATATCGTCTCACTTGATTAGCGCCCATCGAGCCCCCTCCTCCCCCTCCCCTCGACGTTCGCACGGCGTTATTTGGCGCGAGTTAACGCCTCGAGGTTGTGAGTGTTTTTCACTTTTCATGTGCTCGCTGGCCGCCCCAAAAGAGAGAGCAAAATCCAGAGGAAGGAGTGGAAACAGAAAAAAAGTGGCCAAATGAAACATAAAAAAGGAGGGGGGGCTAGCCGGCTAGCCTTTGTGCTGTTCCATATCAGACATTCTTTTTCCCCCTAAAAAGTAAATGAGTTTTCGGTGGCTCCGATATTGTGTACACTCTGCTGCCACTTCCCCACTATTATCAAGTAAAACATTTCGGCCATTGCAGTGCCGTTGGCCTTGCCGGTGGCCTTGCCGTTGGCCTTGCCGGTGGCCTTGCCACCGGCAGCGCGATGGAACGTCAACACGCGGCGGCCCCTTCGGGCCCCTTGCCGCTTCCGGCGGTGTAGGTACGTAAAGCAAACTACCTGAGGGTGAGGGTGGCCGGCCCGCGGTCCGCGAACATGACGACCGGGGTGGTGAAGCGCTCGTTGGCCCCGCACAGCGACACTCCACGCGCCGCCCTGGTGCCGTCCGTCAGCTGCAGCGTGCCGCCCTGGCAGCTACACCGGAAAAGAAGAAAAAAAAGAATCAGAAGCGGCTCTCGAGTGACTGGAAAGGTAAAGGGCGCAACACTCTGAGAGTCTCATGGTAAAAATTTTCCACATTATGATGAAAATTTTTCTAAATGATGGTGAAAATTTTCGATATCATGTTAAAATTTTTCCATATTATGATAAAAATTGTTCAAATTTGCCATATTAAGGTGAAAATTTTCCATAATGTGCTGGTGCAGCTGACTTGGTAATTGTCCTCTTCTTCCTCTTTCCAGCATTGAGGAAATCTCCACCATAACACGTTAGTGACGCCTTTCACCGTGAGACACTCAGAGTGCGCCGCATTCCGATTGAAAAGCCACCTATTGTTGTGGTAGCGGCCCACGCCGACCAGCCGGTACAGCTGGATCTCGACGCGCTGCTTGGCGTCGGGCAGCAGCGTGAACGAGCAGACGGCCGGCGTGTCCATGTTGGACGACTTGATCATGCCGTACGAGCGGCCCGACCGCTGCAGCACCGTCACGGAGTCGATGGTGGCGTTGCACACTGCGAACACAACATCAAGTCCACTGTCAACGTGAGTAAAAAATACAAAAAGAAATCATTTTTAAAAATCTAAACTTAAAAAAATTTAAGAAAAATTGGAGAGCAAATAAACAAAAAGACTGCTTTACGCAAAAAAGCAAATTTTTAAAAAATCCAACAATTTTTTTTGGTCAAAATTCGGAACTAGGCCATGCGTGGTCTGCCCTCGTCATGTGGAAGTGATTGCGGCTGAATTATTATTCACGCTCCGCGCGCCGTCCTTCACTCGCTGTGACTAAGTGACGAACATCTCCCCCGCCCCTCGCGGTGCCCTCGCCGGGGCCTCTCGGCCGCCCCTCGGCCCCGCGGCGTGGCGACGCGCGGCGTGGCGACGTGACGGATAAAAAGGTTAACAAAAAGAGGAGGAAACAAAACGGGGGAGGAGTGTAGAGACACTTGCAAATGCGCGCGTGCACAGTTTTGCAAAACGCGATGGAGAGTGGTGCGGCAGCGGGGGAGGGGGAGGAGTCGCGGCGCGAGAAGAGGAGAGAGAGAGAGAGGGAGAGGAGGGAGAGAGAGAGAGAGAGAGCAGCAGCGGGATGCAGCAGACCGGACGCACCGTACTAATTCACCGGCTGCGTCGGCACCACTCGTCGCGCGCACACACCCACGCAATTTATGATTTTGTCGAAAATTTATGCATTTTTTTCATCGTTGTCGTTTTGCTCTTTTCTATTGTTTGCTGTTTATTTTTTTATTCCACGCTCCAGATGTAGTAGCATGCAGGTACCGCAGCTGCAGCCCGTCACGACTCGCGCAGCACGCGCAGGCCGCCGGATTTACGGCCCCTTTGCGGTGCGAAACAGCAGGGAAAAAAGAAAGGGAAAACAATAATGATAACAAGGGTCGTAAATCGCCGGCAGATTTCCTTCCTCGATACAGCTTGGATAATGGGTTGTTGTAGTGTAGGCGCAAGACTCGTGTTAAAGTGCTCGGGTCTAGCTGCTCCGGCTCGCCAGCGCGCAGCGCAGAAGCAAGTCCAGCGAAAAGTAAGAACATGCCACTGCTTATTTAACCTAGTACAGAACGATTACAGAACAATTACACACAGGACAATCGACCATGACCAGAGTGAATGACCTCTTGACTCAACCGACCCCACAACGTTCATCTCGAGGGCTGGGGCAAGGAACCCAATATGTCTCGTTCCGATTCCAAGCAGGACACCTCTGTGGCGGCGGTCCGCGGCGAGCACCCCACGCAGCACGTCGCTGCCTTGCCAGCCGTGGCGAAGGGCCGGCCGAGGGCCATGTCCAAGGGCCATGTCCAAGGGCCTTGCAAATTGGGTTAGTCGTGAAGCAATTAATGGGATGCTAGTGCTGGCCACGGGAGACCGGCCAGCCAGGCAGGCCGGGCCCTGGCCGGGCCAGAAAAAGGACGGAAAGTGATTGGACCATCGGAGTGGTGGGGAGGGGCGGGGCAAAGCCCGTGAGACTTCCCTTTGATGTCCGCCTCAATAACACGCAGACAAGTTCCTGACAAGATTACGAGCTCGCCGCACCGCGCCGCACCGCGCGCAGGGCGGACGACCGGGCGATAATTATCAATTTTCGAGGCCAACTCGGAGAGGAGATTTCCCCTTTAAAACATATTTTCACCATCTTATCTCGGTTTCTTTCTCCAATTAATTACTGGGCTTGGAACACGAGGGCAGCAGCGACCCCGCTCCGAGTCGTCCCTCCGCGCTGCAGAAGGACGCTTTGACGGCGGCCGCTCTGCTACCTACCGGCAAGGCTCAGTGGGGCCGAGGCGCTCAGGAAAAACTTGGTAGCAATCCGTTCCAGGCAGACGCAGGTAATAATCCAGTAGCAAATGGGTCTTTCTCCAATGACGGGCCGCCACAACTCCACGCAAATAGTCATGGTAGATTCTCCTTAGGGTAACGGTGCAGCTGATTTAAAATTCGAAAAATTCGCTGTTTTTTTTTCAGGTGTTTTGTCGAAATTCCCACGCATCATGGACGAAAATCTCCACCGTGATACGTTAGTGCGGCCTTCCACCGTAAGGCATCTAGTGTGTGAGTCATTTCAGGGCACCTCGGCACAACCAGTTTTCGGACACTCCTCTACGGAACCCGCTCGGGCAAAGCTCGGCATACTCACTGCTGGCGCAGTACTTCTCCAAGCCGCACTGGGCGCAGCGCTGCGGCGCCGCCTCCCCGCAGTGGCAGCCGCCCTCCTTGACGCAGCACGCGCACTCCGTGGACGACGCGTTCCAGGCGCACGCGCACCCCGACGTCGACACCGTCCACAGGTCCACCCGCGCAGCTGCAACACACAACACACCGTCACACACCGTCTGTCACACAATGTCAACCATCGTCACACCTTTGTCACACACTAAGGCTGGATACTGTCACATCATCATCATTATCAACGCTGCTGGGCCTCTAGCAGACCTTTAGCGGTTCGAACAGTCGGATCAGTCAAGGTCTGGTTTGGTGACAGTCCCACACTTGGCAGCGGAGCTGCCACACGTTCTTGAGCAGGCACTTCTTGGCGCACTTGAGCAGGTACTGTCTCAGTTTTAACCTGGCACCGACACGTTGTCGCAAAGAACGCTGTCGAATAAGTTGCTGTGGCTCGGAGCGCCTGGCGGGTAGGCCAAACCGTGCACGCCTGTCATGGGGTTGCCTACCCGGCATTTCGCAGGCGCTCGCTGCCGGATAGGCCAAACCGGGCCAAACCGTGCACGCCTGTCGTGGGGTTGCCTACCCGGCATTCCGCAGGCGCTCGGTGGCGGGCGCTGGAAGGCATCTCGTCCGCCTTGGTGGCTTCCACCCGAGGCGTCCCTATTTACACCGCCTGGCGCGGCACGGCGTGGCACGGCACGCAGCGCACGCCCCGTATTGACGCCCATCACTCCTGGAGAGACTGATCGGGCCATCGAGGGGGCGCCGCGGCACGTTCCGAGGGTACGAGTGTGTCGCCATCGCTTCCGTTTTACCTCTTGAGCGCTTCGAGGAGTCGGCGTAAAGGGTCGGCGTGGGGGTACGCATTAAGGGTCGGCGTTGAGGGTCGGCGGGGGCGATGTTTCATGCCTTGATCGCGCTGGGCCCCGCGCTGGCCGGCCCGCGCGCACACAGGAGGGTCAATGAAGACTTTGCCGTAAATCTGTTGGACGACGGGCCGGCCGGGTCGGACGGCGCATTGCGAGTCGCGGCGCCGAAACGGCGAGCGAGATGATTTAGCGGCGCCTGCCGATGCGGCGGGGCTGTTTACGCAGATGATGGTTTATTAAAGGAAAACTGCATACTTCCCCGACTGCGTGCCTGCGCCACCGACTTCCACCCCCACCCCTACCCCCTTTAGGGCTGCGGCCACCAACTCAGAACACGGATACCCTCTCAGCCGGGGCAACCCCGCCCACCTTCTTCGACACCTGCCGGCCGGCGGCCTGCCCGGGCAGCACACAAAGACCCGTTCTCGCCGCAAATATTTCCCTGGCGCGCAAAAACAGAGTTCCAAACCGAAGCGAATACTGAGACAGCTATTCGAGAATATTTTATTTCTGCGTTTACCAAAGTGTCAATGGTATCAAACCGATTAGACGACTGCGAGAGCGAAATGGCGGCTCTTCCCTCAGAGTGAGATCAGTGTTGAATTTCTTCCAGTGCCGCCGTGTCGCCATTTTTCCGCTCTGAAGCAAATCTAATGGACCTAATGGTGTGACCCGAGGTGGTGGCGCCGAGTGGAGTACGTTGGGGTAGGGGTGGGGCGAGGGCTGCGGAGCCCAGGCCGAAGCCCAGGCCTGCCGGGCCGCAGCCAGCGACTCAGCGCCTCCCCCCGGTCGTCACCGAGGCCGCCAAGATCCAGATCCTGGGTATCTCGGCCTTATCGACCTGCCGTCGTGCCGCCAAGGCTCTCAGGCCAAATAAATCGGAATTCCATTACTGACAAAGGGGTAGCTGAAAAAGAGAAAACTGCGCGACGCCTCAGCGGTGGCATCCGCATTGTAGAAAAAAAAGAGGGAAAATCTTACTCCCTGACTTCCACGTTGCGACGAAAGGTGCCGATTTCTCCGCAGCTTTTATAAGCTTTTAATAGCTTTTCGCAGGGACAAAATGGCATCAGCAGGGCACTTCGATTACGAGGCCCGCCGTGCTCTGGCACTGCCGGCACTGCGGGCCGGGGCCTCGGCCGGGGCCGTGCTGGGCCTCGGACCAACTCATTTCCGCTGCTTTTATAACCTTTTTCTCCTTCATTAGGACACGGCCCTCCTGCCCCGGGCGCTGCCTCCGGCTCACTCGGGGCTGCCCATAAATTATGTCTGCTCATTTCCTTGCCGGCCTACACACTACTGTCGGAGGCATCAACAAACAACCGCTGAAAACAGACCACAAGTTTCCAAAAGCAATTTACGGTCCGGGAAATTTACGAATAAAGTCGTTAATTTCCAGAAATGCGGACCTGCCATCATCATTATGAGCAGAGCTACGGCGGGGCGCAGTCTTTCCGTTCCGTTTTTTTTATTTTTTCTTCTTTTACTCTTTGCCAAGCTGGGCCTAATTAACCAGGCCGGCGTCACTATCGCAGGTGTTAACCAAAATGAGGACGTTGGTGGGTTCACATTACACCACTGTCCGTCCCGTTCTCTCTCTCTCTCTCTCTCTCTCTCTCTTCTCTCTCTCTCTCGCACACACACACACGCACACACACACACACACGAATACAGGCACACTGCAGTCATTAGTACTGCCGCTTAGCTGATTGCGTGCCGGTGCAGGGAGCCCCTAAGTGCCCCGAACACACTGGGGAGGCCTCTGCTGACGACTAAGTCGAAAATTAAGTGGCCGTCCTGCTACGTGGGGGAGGCTTAAACGAAACCCAGGTAAGTCGGATATAACTGCCGTATTATTCATGATGTGAGTCGACAAGCTCGGACAATATGACTGCCACTTGGTAATACCTGTTGTTTTGCTAGCGAACCCAAGCGCCCACGAATTTGGTGCACCTGATCGCATATTTCCTCACCCTTCTGAAACGATTCCATCCAGCCAGGCCAGGGACATCGAAAAGCAGCTTCAGATTCAGGATGCCTTCAGTAATTGGCCACTGGATTTCCACACTCCACTGGAGAGGTGCGCCGGATACCGAGCGGGGATACCGGAGGAATTCTGGAACCGGAAATTGCTTGAAACGAACACCCTGCATCCCTTTGCTGCGAGGGCGCAGTGGGGAAACGGCAACGCGTTTCGGAACGGCTGGGCCGTGCTCAACTTGGGCGCGGAAAATACAGGAATTTTCGAACCGCATTGGCTTTTTTCCCCGGCGCCCTCCGCATGCCGTTAGCCGACTAGTCCACATATCTTGGCGCCAAAATTCCGACGTCGGCAATCCGGGAATTTGCAGGCGGGCAGGCGCCGCGGCACGGGGTCGCGGTCCCCACTGTTCCCCGCGCGCCGCCCTCTCTGGATGGGCGTAAAACGCATGTCGCTGGCTTTACGGCGCAACACTCCGCCGTTTTATTCCTGGGAGCCGCGAACACCTCCACCGGCATGGCATACAGTGTGTGCGCCGCGCGGCGTGCGGGCAAGGAGCATAACCGGGCCGCGCGCCGCCCCCACCGCCACTCCGCGAGCAACGCCGCGCAGCGAGCAGGTAGCCGGCTGCTTTGCAAATCTCTCACTTTTCGTTACTAAAACATTGTTATTGCCGCGCTATCAGCCATGCGGAGCTGGGCGAGCCGGGCTGGCCGGGCCGGGGGCGGGCCGACTTGTAATTTGTATGCAGTCGTACCGCTGGCCTCGCCGGCCTTGCCGGCCTTCCGCCCGGGCTGCGGCAAACCCTCCGCCATCGCTCACCGCCGCACCGCGCGGCCCGCGCGCCTCAAACAGGCCCGACCGTCGCCACTTATTTTGGCCGCCAAAATTTCCCGCCGGCCCCCAACGGCATGCTGGACCGCCCCAGTCCCAGCCCGGCGGCGGCAACGCCCGGCCCGCCCGGCCTTAGCATTGCGACAATAATTCTTCATACCTGAAATAATCCCCGCGGGGGGACGCGGCGAGCGCGGCGGCGAGCCCGGCGCCGAGGCCAGCAACAAGCCCGGCCAACACGGAAAGCCTCGAGACGAACAAGCTAGTCATGGAGCTCGCCCTCCCCCAGGACCGGGCCGCGCTGCGCGGCGCTGCGTCACCCCCTGCCCTGCATCGCACGGGTCGGCCGGGTCGGCCCGGGTCTGCCACACGCGTGGCGCAGGGCGCACGTCGGCCAGGATGGGTGAGTAACTTCCAAGTCAAGTTTCATCTCGATAAAGGGAGGGGCTGCTGCACGGCCCAACTTGCTTCTGAGGGTCTGATAAATTAATGCGCTGGAAGGGCCCCGGCTCACACACACTCACACACACACAGTGCCACCTTAGTGACGCACAGCGCTGCCAGCGAACGCCCCAGACCCGTCAAAACAGGTCCTCAATGCCTCCGCGCGCGCCAATGTGGTGGTAGCTCGAGGCCAAATATAACGAAACTCGGGTCCTTCAGCGGGCGGTGTATTTGAACCCGCGACCTTCATCTGGAGGTCGCGGGGCGGGCGGCGGGTTGGGGGGCGCGGGGCAGGCTTAGAGAGCCCGACAAAGGCAGGCCGCACGGCGACGGTTCCCTCGCGGTCCCCTCGCCCGCCGTCCTGCCCCAATCTTTCTTCTATCATTCCCCTTCCGCCTTCTTTTGTGGGCCAAATTTTTTCCCATTTCCACAGAGCGGCCGTGCCGGGCCGTGCCGGGCCCACTGTGTTGCAGTTGCGTTGATTACTGGCCTGGCTGTTTTTCTCGGCCCCCTCCTGACCAGCCCTCCGGGCCTGTGCCTCGCCCTCCTCCCGCTTCGCTACCTTCACCTTCAAGACCCTCCTCCTCCCTTTTCACTTTTCCCTCTCGAGAGGCGGCCGGGCCGCGCGTCCCGCCCCCCTGCCTGCTGCTACACGCCGCGAGGGCGCCCCGTCCGTCCGCACCGTCCTCGCCCCGCACCAGGCTGACACTGCGCTCTCACTTTGGCGCCAAAAACCGGCGCGCCCTGACGGGCCTGACGCCCACGGCCCGATACAAGCCCCCGAATGCGTCAGCGTGACGTAGCGCGGCGGCGCTGCAATCGTGCCGGTATCGATTTTAAAACTCGATAGGAGGATGGTCAGCGGGGCGGGGAGCGCGAGGTGCGCAAGGTGGAAGGTGCATCGGAGCGATCGGGTCCGGGGCCACAGACAGGCGGACGGACAGGCGGACAGAAGAAGGGCGGACAGCGCGCCGTTAGAATCCCCTTGCTTTGTGCGGCCCTTGCCCG